TTTTTTCTTAATTTCACCTATTGCATCAAGGATACTAACCTCCACGGCATCCTCCGCAATTATGATCCAGTAACACAAATGTATATATTTTGTCCAATCACGAAGACCTTTAATGCCGAAGAATCCAGACCCTTCCTTATGTCACATGGATTTATCCAACCTATAGAAATCCCAATATTAGAATTTATTCACAATACTAAATATAATCACAAAAGATATAACCTCATTCAAAACACACCTTATGAGTTTGCAGTAGGCACCGAAGAACTAAAAACCATTAAAGCACTTCAATTGCTTTGGCCACTGCTCCAAACTAAAAACATCATTCGCATACTAGCAAAGTTACTAACAACTTCGGACATAATACACGAGATCTTTTCCCACGGCTTTTTCCCAGATAATTAACAGGTAAGTATAATTTAAAAATATTCTTAACTAATAAATTTAAATTAGTACTAACGATTCTTTACTCATGTTTCTTTTACATTTTTAGTCTTCATACCACGATCATCTGCAAAAAACAGAAGAAAAAAATAAATAAACTTGTTAAAATTCTTCTAAACTTCTTTAATATTTTACACAAGATAATATGATAAAATTCATACCAAATGTAGTAAATTAATTTATAAATTATTCCCCCATAAAGCAGTAAATTTAATTATGATGAAAATTTATAACTTTAAATTTCCCGCAAAAACTAGCAGTAAAATTGAAAATCTATGTAATAAATTGATAAAATGAAAATGCAGTACTAACCATTTGATATTTTCATTCACTCGCACAGGAATTCTATCCAAACTCGCACAGCTCGCCCACGAAGAATTGTTTAAATAATGATTTTAAGTTTCAAGTTTTCACACTCAACAACTCTAACACACGATAACAAATTCCAAACTTTCCTTTAACCCGGTTGGAAAGGAATTATATACTAAACCAAACTAACCAACGCAGCTTACTAAACATCACAAACCATAAAATAACAGCATGACTAAGAAAAGAAAACCAACGGTACCCAAACCGGATTAACCCAGTTTAAAACTGGATAATTTATTCTTTTGAAGACTATTATAAAGTCTAAGAAAGAAATAATAAAACACAAAAAAGTCGAAAGACAAACCCATAATAAAAACAATTTGATTTTTGAAAAAGGACACAACCAAAGAAACATAAGAAAGACCAACATAAACCCAACAAAAAACGTTATCACATAACAGGACCTCTCAAAGAAACCGCACGAAACCATACTCCCACTCCTGGCCTAACCCACCAGAGAGGACGTCCTGAGCATGCTCTATTGCCGGCCTAACCCACCGCGCTACATCCACGCTTTGTGACCACACTTCTTTTTTTAATAAGAGGTACTCAAGGGTGAGTAACTCTTCAAAATAACAGAACTAAAACAAAATGCTTTTGTGAAAACAATTAACTAAATTCATAATTAAAAAACCAAACTTTTAAAAACTTTATAAAATGTAAATCATACCTTGCAGTATATAGATCAACACACAACAACAAAGACGAACATCCAAAGACAAAATGACCCCATTACACTCGAACAAGAATGGCTAACCACAACCGATATGCCGTCCACAATCACAACTCAAAGGATTTTGAGTACGACTTGACTTCGCAGAAAAGGACTTCATTGAACTAGACCAATGACCACTTCGATGTTCAAGTATACGTACAGATCCGAGTTACAAAGCATCCCTTCCACACACAATCTCCACGCCATTCCCAGACGAGGTTGAACACAAAACAAGTTCTCTACATAATACAGAAAAACCTGTCATAGCCAACCATTCTGAAATCAGATTGAGTTTGTTGGGAAAACCCAGTCTTTGTCATAAGAAGACACAACGATTGATCCTGGAACTTCTCTAAAGAGAACCCAGTAGAATATGATGTTCGCCAAATACCAACGTCCATCATCCATCCTTTGAATTGCAGAAAAACAATTCTAAAAAACTCTGTAAAACCCGGATGGGTGGAACCTGATCTAAACTACATTTTATGATTGGATAAATTAGATATTTTACCACTGTAAAGTATTTAATATTAACCAATCATGATCCATCTAACTAACAACCCACTTATTTGTAAGTGCTGAAATTACTTGTAATTTCAGCACCAGAGAGATTTGAATTTAACTTAGAAATTAGTTGCCTCTCCAAGAGAACTTCAGCAGCCGCAATAAACCAGTATACCCTAGATCTATTGAGCCTAGCAGAGACTAGTTAAACAACCTGAGACTAGATAGTATAAGAGTAAGATTAGGATCGGTATTAGACTAAGAAGTTGCACGAATCTATCCGGCCGAAAATAAGATAGCGTGACGAACAGACGGTGTACCCTATCCGAAATTACTCTATGAGTTAACCACATCGGTCCTAACTCAATACCCATTTCGTATCGCTTTCCATGTCCAGACCAAAGTCTCAAATATGTTTACTTGGGCACTCAATAGAATCAGTTTTAAGGGGCAATTTCAAATTCGGCCTGTACCTTACTACTCGGCAGTACTTAATTCGCGGGTGTCGAAAAATGAGCGGTCTTAATTGGGGTGGTGGGGTTTTGAATTGATCAGTATCAAGTCTGAATAATATCGTGCCTAAATTGAGTCAACAATTTTCTTACACATAAAAATTTTTCTAAAACTCAGGGTATAAACTTTATAGAATAAAAATTGAGGTGAGATCAAAGCAGCGACCCCCCAGCTTCCATGAAGTTATGATGAAGTTGATTTTTGTTGAGGGGGATCACAATTAGTGCAGAGTATTATGCACATGAATAATTAAATGATAAATGTATATAGATGTCTATAAATGCAAAAAAAATGTTTTCGTTTATTTCAGTTTTCCCGCACTGAAGTTTAATGGATAATAATTGATTATATTGGATTTTCATTGTCAGTCTCTACAAAATAACAAAAATAATCGATTATAATCGATTGAAAATGGATTATAATGATAATATTTTTTTTAAGCAATAAAAATCCAATATAATCGATTATAATCGATTATAATCGATTAATTTCAAAAAATTTTATCAAAAGAAAACTAATCCATTTTAATCGATTATAATGGATTATAATCTATTTATTCAAATCTTTTTGTGTGTTGTTTTCATTTTTTCATAATTTTGTTCAACTTATATAATAGTTATTTTGTTCTCTCGCTTATTTTCATTTTTTCCTATTTTCAATCGAGTTAAGAAAAATTGGTGGAGCTGGTCACAATTTTGTTTTTGGGCACTTTTTGGAAAATTACTACATATTGGCCGCCCCTGGATGAACGTAATCGTTCGAGTTTTGCAGAAAGTTGCAAAAATTAGAGTCATTATTTTAATCAATTTTCATGGATTTTATGAATAAAAAATAATCCATTATACTGAAAATAAAAATGGATTATAATCGATTATAATGGATTATAATGGATTTATATTTTTCCAAAATAATCGATTATAATCGATTAAAAATCGATTACATGGTCTAAATTTGACATGATAGTCGATTATATAGACAACATTTTAGTCAACGAAAATCCATTATAATCGATTATTACCCATGAAACTTCGGTGCGGGTTGCAAAGTTGTGCAACTTGAATTTAACTAATTCGAAACGTTTTCATTACCGTCTAGAATGAACTTGCCATGATTTATCTTGTTGTTCTTCCAAGTCGAGCACTCTTATCTTTCAGTATTACTGGAAGCAATAACATGTGCTTCTTCGCACAATAACACAAATGCAGAAACATGTAAAGAGGAAGAAGGTTTGTGGCACACAAATTGAGCAAACAAACCCCACAACTGAGTGACATCAACGAAACAACAAATACTCAACCAAACTTATCCTTCGAGTGTTTTTATTGAAGATCACTAGTGCATCATTTCTTTTTGTTCGCAATGCCAACTTTCTAATTCCCACTGTCAATATTATTTGCCTTTACTATATTTTGAAATGTGTGGCCAAACTCAATCGACCACGCTTCATAGCCGCCTCACTACCGCAGTTCTGGACAGTTAAAACTGACAGCTGTTCCAAGAAACGAAGATTCTGTGGTTGCATTTTGAGTTTGGCTATCCTAAAAGACAAAGCATCCCCTCCACGCACAATCTCCACGCCATTCCCAGACAAGGTCGAACACAAAAGAAGTTCTCTACATGAAACAGAAAAACCTGTCATAGCCAACCATTCTGAAATCAGATTGATTTCATTGGGAAACACAGTCGTTGTCACAAAACGACACAACGATTGATGTCCCTAACTCCAGCGTCCTGGAACTTCTCTAACAAGAGGAACTGGACAAGAATACGATGTTCGCCGAATACCAACGTTCATCATCCATCCTTTGAATTACAGAAAGATAATTCTAAAAAATTCTGTAAAACCCGGATGGGTGGAACCTGATCTAAACTACATTTTATGATTGGATAAATTAGATATTTTACCACTGTAAAGTATTTAATATTAACCAATCATGATCCATCTAACTAACAACCCACTTATTTGTAAGTGCTGAAATTACTTGTAATTTCAGCACCAGAGAGATTTGAATTTAACTTAGAAATTAGTTGCCTCTCCAAGAGAACTTCAGCAGCCGCAATAAACCAGTATACCCTAGATCTATTGAGCCTAGCAGAGACTAGTTAAACAACCTGAGACTAGATAGTATAAGAGTAAGATTAGGATCGGTATTAGACTAAGAAGTTGCACGAATCTATCCGGCCGAAAATAAGATAGCGTGACGAGCAGACGGTGTACCCTATCCGAAATTACTCTATGAGTTAACCACATCGGTCATAACTCATTTCTCATCTCGATTCTGATTGGTTAATGTAGTATTTGTCAGCTTACTGACGAGTATGAATACGCAGATGTCAGTTTGTATAAATACTGCAACGTAACCGGATGCCACCCTCATTTTTAGAATTGGGCAACTGTTCTATCAAGTTTTACATGTGCAAGCAAGGGAGAATTAACCATAGACGAATTCGTTACCTCTTGGAGGGGCGCGTTTCTTCAGAGGCTTCGACCACTCTCCCTTGCCAGCTTCATTTACAGCAGCCACCTGCGCGTAGTAGGTCAAGTTGCTACGAAGACCATAAAGTTTTGCCGTCAAGATTTTACTGATCTCCAATTTAATTGTCTCAATCAACTTCTGGTTGTACAGCAGTTGTGCCTACAAATAAAGCAAACCCCCAAGTTTCACGTCGAAAATTTCATCATACTACGTACGTATCATGATGGTGATACGAACAATAAAGTTAAAATTATAAATAAAAGACATTACAAATATATATTTTCTTAAAAATTAATTGTGTACTTTGCCGGACAGTCGAAAAAATTAGCTGAGCAAAAATTTCAATGCATGCTTTTAATAACAAAAAGCAGCTGAAGAGTGAAGTTTCCAATTTTAATTTGATTTAAAAAAATTTTAATTTCAAATTATAATATAACTATGAGCAACTTAAAACTTGAATATCAAATTATTTAGTTTCACCTTGTCTTTAATATCTAAACACAGAGGCTTCATGTAATTTCTTGTCTTAAAATGTTAGTTCTTACATTTTTTTTGAGGTTAGCTTAACTTGGGTCATGTATTTTAGGGTTGGAGAGAAACGTATATATCGATTCGTGAGAATTTTTGTTACTTTCTCGTGGCTAGTATATGTTAAGGTGTTAACTTACTAAATCTAACCTAGAGGTTGTGATTTGTGATCAAGGGTTGGAGAATAGTAAATCGATCCACAAGGTTCAGGTACAATTAGAACACAAGTAGTTCGTTAGGCACTATTTTAAACTTACTAAGTTCAAGTATTATCCTGGGTCAGTTAAGAGGGGGGATCAAGTGAAGGATGAATAACCGAAGTTCTTCACTGTTTATCTTAATTAAAATGGTTAATTTTTGTGAAAAATTATTATTAGTCCTGGGTCTTGAGTAAGGGTAGGATAGCGAATCGACGTTTCAGGTCGTTAAACACTTTATAATTTGTGAGGGGGAGAACAAAAATGTTCCAGTTGATCCAAGGATAAGCCTTGATGATCGAAATATAAAATTAATTTATTTTTGATTTAATTCAAGCAAAATTTAACTAAAGATTCAAGGAAAGCCTTGATGATCTGTTGTTTTAAAGAAGATAAACTTGAATTAAAACAAGGATGAGCCTTTATAATTTAAGTTAAAACTTAATTGAAAATAATTTAGGTGAAAATTAATTAGAAAATTATGTTTTAGTTTTTGGCGATGTTAGTAGTTTTATGATTTGCTGTTTTGTTTTAGGTGATGAAGCTGGGATGAAGAGATGATTTGTATATATATAAACTAACAATTAGTTTTTTAAACTACTTAATTTTGTATCATTATTTTTGAAAAATATTTTTATTCAAGATGTTTTTGAAATTTACTGCAGATTTTGGATGGAATTGATTAGTGATATTTTTATCAATCGTTAATGTACAATTAATAAGTTTATAGCGCCATTAGTGATCGTTGAAGAATTTTCTTCAAAAATTCTATGTCAGTACATGGAAATCTAAATTTAGTGCTAGAAGTATTCTAAATGTAAAAGTTTGATCTGGCTTTTGCCGTACGATATTATAATCGATTAGTAGATTTCGTCCTAATCGTATGTTGTCTCTTGTCCGAGGTCTTTTTCCAATACCAGGTAGTTCTCGTATTGTTCGGAAATATGGTAGTGATCTATTGAGTCGTAGAGACATTTCAACTAAATTTTTGTGGTATAACATTTTTTATGTTATATTGTTCTAATTCTAAGCTAATGTTTGTTTTCTAATCTAAGTTTGTTATGGTCTTGTTCGAGCCTCACTGTTAAGTTTAGTTGGTTACTTAACTCATAGAGTAATTTCGGATAGGGTACACCGTCGGCTCGTCACGCTATCTTATTTTCGACCGGATAGATTCGTGCAATTACTCAGTCTAATACCGATCCTAATCTTACTCTTATATCTCCTAGTCTCAATAGATCTAGTGTATACTGGTTTATTGCGAGTCGGTCTCTTGGAGAGAAGCAACTAGGTTCTAATTTAAATTCAAATCTCTCTGGTGCTGAAATTACAAGTAATTTCAGCACTTACAAATAAGTGGGTTGTTAGTTTGTTGGAGTATGATTGGTTAGTATTAAATATTTTATAGGGATAAAATATCATAATAATAACCAATAATAAAATCCATTTTGAATCTGGTTCCACATCCAATTACAAAAAGGAAAATGTCGAGACTTAGAATCACATATAAGCCGTTCAACATTCCTACAGCTACTAATGTTGGATAGCAATTGCAAACAAAAATTAAAATGAAAATTAAGTCGCCAGATTTTAATTCTGGGTTAATCGCTCGGGTTTAATTCATAAAATTTAAATAATTCTGTGCATTCCAGTTCTGCCCTGTACTGAATCATAATAAGTAATTCTGTACTTTCTGTACAGGGCAGGGCTCCAGTTGAATAAATCCTTGCAAAGCATATATATCTGTGCATATCTTACCCATTGGGGCCTATGCAGTCGAACTGGACAAACTCGGTCGAGTGAGCAATCGCCTCTGTGTCTCTTGGCTCCAACACAAATTCATTTTAATCACTCTCAGACTCTTCAGAATCTAAAGCACATGAACCCGATTGACACCAAATAACACCAATTGAACCATTTAAACAAATCACTTGAACCGTGCATATTAATCATTGTTCATCTATTACGTCTTTAGAGCGAAAAAAAAACATAAATCTGAACACAGCTCACTAATTGTTACCAATACAGCAACTATTATGCTGTTCAAAAAACAGTCTAGAAGATAAAAACGCCTCTTACTTTCAATTTGAACGCTTATCTTTGACAACTTAGTTTCGTCCAGCAAGCACCAATAGGAAACTGGTTGAGACGCTTGCAAGGGCAGCAGCGCCAATTCGCCTCTATGGGTGACAAAACTGGTTTCCGTTTCCGAACTAGCTCTGGCTGAAATAGTCCTGCCTAATTGGTCAACCCAACTAATCCGACTGCGTAGGTCCCCCGATATTGCTCTTGATTGGTCAATGTCCTTCTCTAGATTTTCAACCCCACATTTTAAAATCAAAGAAGCTCCATTTTGTCCAGATGTCACTGATACGACTTTGAATGCATTTAGCGAAACGTTAATGACTAAAACTGTCAATAAATTTTAAAGGATGTGGCTGTGGTTTAGGAAAATCTTCAGTTTTTTGATTTCTCAATATGATTCCTAAACTGTTTTAGTCCTTAACGTATCGCTAAACTAGTTTGTTTAAAAAATAGATGACCATTTTTAAAATTTATTCAAGTAAATTATGTCTTTCAGCTAAAGTTGTTAAATGTTTCAATTTTTTGATGTCAAATAAACTCCTACCCGATAAAATCGAAACGTACTCTCAAGAACAGCTGTCAAAATTTTTAAAGATTTTCAAAAGAAATTACATTTTAGACAATGTACAGCTGGTCGACAATTTTTTCTGATTTGTTTACCCGTTGTCGTTACTTAATTGTGATAGTTATTCCGGAGGGTAGCTACTTGTTAGGTTGAAAAGCTTGTTCTAGCTATCCTGATGCAGTGAGTGATTACGTATGTATTTCTGCACTGTATCGAATAAAATTTCAATGACAAATCGAAAGTATAATTCAGGGCGAGAACGGAATTAAACAGGAATTGTTCCATATTTCAATTTGCCTTAAATTATCAAGCTATTTTCGTATAAATAAACCAAAACTGTTTTAGTCCTTAACGTATCGCTAAACAAGTTTGTTTAAAAAATAGATGACCATTTTTAAAATTTATTCAAGTAAATTTTGTCTTTCAGCTAAAATTTCAATGACAAATCGGAAAGTATATTTCAGGTCGAGAACGGAATTAAACAGGAATTGTTCGATATTACAATTTGCCTTAAATTATCAACCTGTTTTCGTATAAATAAACCAAGTCAAATTCTATTGGACGAAAATGATAAATTCAGATTTCACTTAAAAGAAGAAACGCATTTTCAGACTGAATTGAATGCCTTTTAAATCAAATGGTCCCAAAATAAATAGTTTAATACAATTCTTTCAGTTTTTCAATAAATTTGGCGTATCATTTTATACCAAATTAGCATGTTAATATTAATTTCAATAACTAATTTGCAATCAAATAATTTTTTGTAGAGGGATCATATTTGTACATGTTTGAGTTTTTCAGTTCACATCGCCTCCCAGTTCACATCGCCTCTCGTACAAACGGCGTCTGGAGGATGATCTTAACTTGTTTCTAAGTTCAAATTTTCAGTTAATTAGAATCGAGTATTTTACAAGCATCTAACAGCTAATTTAAGCCAACTTGAGGAGAGGGGAGTTCAAATTAACTGGGCCAGATTTGAAATTTTATGTCCATATCTTCGAATACCGATTTTATTGTCTTGCTCAATTTAGCGTTAATTAAATAAAATTGAATCGTTTTACTATTTGCAATAACATTAAGACTTTTACTATCGTCTGAGCAACAAAATTTTCCGGACAAGTTAACTCGCAAATACTGAAACATTGAGCCAAATTTTGAAAAAAAATAAATTCCTTCCTCTCGGTCTTAAAACAATTTACGATCTTTTCACTCAAAACATATAAAACCCAAGATTCAAAACCCACTCAACAGCTGTTTATGACTTTGATAGAGTTTGATCTAGCCGCCTTGGTGATAAACCGAGAAATACTTTACATTGCCAAAACGTATTTTGAAAAATTCCAATGAACTCGAGAAAACCTGAAAAACTACTGATCAATTTGGAGATTTCTACCAGGATAAAAATGACCTTGAAGCTCTTTGACTTCAATAAAATTTAACGAGGTAAAATACATTCTAAAATCATTTAAAACATACTATTTTAGGACATGAAAAAAACAAACACATAGGCGAAGCCGAGCTTCGCACCACTTGCGATACAGCCCGAAACTAACAATAAAATAAGAAATAAAAAATAATGAGCAACACAAGAATAAAAATTTTCGTATGTCTCGATAAAAGATAGCTATGAGCCTAGTTAAAGCTGGAGGTTGGTGTTTTGATAACTGTGCTATATGTGTGATGAAATTGGCAATTTCAAAAAGTGACTTTACCCAAAACCATATTTGTGTCTCTAATAAAATAAAAAACCATAATTGTCTTCCTACTAACATAAAAGAGAGGAGCAAAATATTATGAGAAATTGAAATTTTCCCAAAGAAATAACATAACTCTAACAAAAAAATGAGGAGACGCCGCTTCTACAGGAAAAATTCTGGCAATCGGTTCATTCGAATGATCCCAAGGGTAGTTATTAAGAAAAGTTTATTTTCCGAAAAAAAACGGTCAACGTTTCAAAAACTTGACTTTCGGAAAACAATCTTTTTTTTTCTGCAAAAACAAAAACTTCAAAACTATTCCGAGGGCTATAACTTTCGTATACTATAGTTTGACCGTAGACAAATATGCATGAAACCTTCCAACAAACCGTTCTTTGGATAGAACCAAAAATTTCAGATTTGAGCGGGCAGTATTCGAGAAAGGTGAAAAAGAATTTAAAAAAATGGTCAAAATACCAAAAATTTGTTCTTTTCGAGGGCCCTAACTTTTGAGCATACAATGGGGCTTAGATGATTATGCAGGGGCACTTCCCACAACCAGTTGTTTTGATTAAACCTTTAAAATTCGCGTTCTCTTTGAAATTATTATAAAGCAAGCAATTTAGAAAAATAATAAAAAATATTTAATACATCTGACAAGTAAGCCGACAAAACTTGGGACAAAACTTGGGAGAAAACCATGAAGCCGCCGACAAAAAAAAATCATTTTTTTTTTGAAAAAGTTAAGCATGTCAGCAGGCATGAGCTTGTCAGCAATTGATTCAACTGATTTCGTTAAACTTGTTAACCCTAGTTGTCTACATTTCGAAAAGTTGTCTACAGACTAGTTGTCTACATTCCAATTTGATAACGCTTGCAGGCACTTTCCATTTATTAGACACTTTTGCTAAACAAAAAGTACCCTTGTAGTCCTCAGAAAATTCAATGCAACTTCGTCTTTAAAAAATGTCTCATTTATTAACTTAATCTGAACAATTTTGGTTAAGAAAAAAAAAATTTGAACCAATTTTGATGAACAACATGAAACTACGCCAACCACGAAAAAGCCTATTTGCCAAATTGTTCAAAATCTTGATGAGTATGTTTGTAAACAAGGATAGCCGGTTACTGTGCAATTAGTTCAGAATCTTCCAAAAATACCAAATTTATTTTTTTCTAAATTAGTGACATTTTTCTGCGTGTGTGATAAAAAATATTTGTACGAATAATTAATAATAATAATCATAATAACAAAGGATTTAGGAATATAATCCAAGGGTTCGCATAAAACCCAGTCATTGCATTGTTCAAAGTTTAGTTTTCAGTTATAAGTGTAAGTTTCTTCAGGTCTCTACAGTTGTTGCATTCGGGCATTCGAATAGAACTTAGGCGCATTCGAAATTCTGAGTAAAATAGACCGATTGCAAACCAATTTTTGGCACATTCTACATTCAGAGTAAAATAAGCCGACTGCAAAATAATTTTTGTAGCAAAATGATTAGACAAACGAAAAAAAATGGTTATAAAATATAGAAAAAATTATCTAAAACTTCAAATTTTAATGCAAAAATGTTTCGAATAGTGAAAATTTGACACCCATATAGGCACTAAAAGTTCCAAAAACTAACTTTACTCAAGCAAAACTAAGTTTTCGCGGCTTAAAATTAAGCATGACTAAGCTCAGAAGAGACATAAAAGTGACATTGCTTTAAGTTATTAAAAACGATCATTTGTTTTGTAATACTAGTTTTGTTAACAAGTATTCTAATATACTTTACTAGATACTTTACTCGATACTTTACTAGATACTTTACTAGATACTTTACTCCATATCCACAAAACTCCATAGATTCTGACTAGAACTTGTGATGAAGGGACTCCTGACTGCAACCTCGGTTACAATGATACTTTGGACCTTCTGATTATACGTTGAACCTGGCGCTTTTGTCAGTTATGCGGTTTAATGGCAATTTCGATTCGATATCTACATGAACCGATTTTCATGATTAGCAATACAAGACAACATCATCACCGTCAAAATTTGCTGAATGCTCATAAGTAACAATCAACTTACGATTAAGAAATCCCATGGTGTAACCTACGAAAAACGCTAACATTTTGAGGTTTCAACAGGTGACAAAGCAGAGTTATCAGGTAAAAGGCATTTAAACGGCCACGTCATATCTGAAAAAAAGTTCAATTACAAAAAGGGCCCTTCCGTTTAGGTACGGCCGTGCACAAGCTACGATCGTGCACACGTCTTATCTGAAAACTAGAAAAAATGAAAACAAGAAAAAACTAATTCAGCTGTTTTTGTAAGCAAAAAGCAGAAAAAAGCTTTGAAAGTGGAATCAAACGTTTTCAAAACTATATCGATCGTCTGATGAAAAAACTGTTTGTTATATAGGGAGTGCGGTCTGTATTTTGACAACCGCGTATCCTACTTGTCTCGATTCTGATTGGTTAATACAGTGTTTGTCTGCTTACTGACGAGTAGGAAAACGCGGTTGTCTAAAAAATGCTACGTAACCGTTCTATAGTTAATGCCAAATTTTTGACAATATTGGTGACCTTGAGCAATTTCACTTTTCGAAAGTCTTTTCAGTTGATTAATTTTTTGAGTATTAATTTTAGGTTTTAACGTGGAAATAATCAGTCAAAACTATCAGTTTTATTAATTAACGTCGTTCAGATTTGTTAACCGAAAACGATATTTAAAAATTTAAAATGTTAATTCAAACATTTTCGCACATTTTCTGCATCATGATGATTAAAAGTTAAAAGTTTTTACAATATTTACGAAACGATCAAAGATCTGAAAAATGAGAAACATGTTTGAAAAAACTCCAAAATTTTTGACCACTCAAATTTAAACAACTGTAATTACATAATAAATAGCGCGTCAATCGCACCTCCGGTGCTACAAAACCAAGTATTCAGAAAACAGACAAACCAAAACTCTAGAAGAATAAAAGGATTTGGGCAGGTATACTTCGACTCCAGATTTGCAACCGCTGAATGTACCCTGACAGCAACCCACTTTAAGGTTGAGAAATTCAAGTTCGGTCAGTTTTTCTATCTAATTTTTTTTGGAAAAAAAACATGGAAAAATCATAAAAAACGCCATATCTCGAAAACCAATT